ATTTACAGTAAGTAAATATGATTGCACACTGCACACGGACTTGCTACTTTATGATATAGTTATGATCATACTTCTTTTTTCTATAAGAGTTATGATCAAACTTTTATATAGTTTACTAATTTTCCTAATAATGTCATTCATTGGTTAAAGCTTATCATCAATAAGTTAAAAATCCATCGAAGATCTTTCTTTATACTTTATTTGTACTCACAAATATCAATTTCATGTGAAAATTCCAACAAGAAAATTATTTTAAAAAATGCAGGGAGATGGGGTAAGGAGAAGATTTTTTCTATGTCTTTTGTAGAAATGAGGTGGTCTGGTATTCTGATCTTAGAATTTTTCGCATTAGAGATGCTCTAAGAGCACCTCCACCCCAAAAAATAAAGGTTGGGGCCTGCGGGTAGGCGCACTCAGCCATTCGACAAGAAATAAGGGCTAGGGCCCCCGGGTAGGCACATTTAGCCATTTTGAAGCGACGTGGCTCTTCTTGAGCCGTTGGATTTCCAACAGCTATATTTCTAGGACATTGGATTTCCAATGGTAAAAAAATTTGAAATCCAACCTGTGACATCCCACATCGCCTAGGGGAGTGGATCATGCAAGCCTTATATGTATATTCTCATCTCTACCTAGCATGAGGCCTTTTGGGAGCTCACTGGCTTCTAGTTCCATCGGAACTACAAAATTAAGTGAGTAGCATGCGAGAGCATTCCAGGATGGGTGACCCATTGGGAAGTTCTCGTGTGAGTTCCCAGAAACAAAACCGTGAGGGCGTGGTCGAGGCCTAAAGTGAACAATATCGTGCTACGGTGGATTCGAGCCCGGGATGTGGTGGGGGCCTGGGCGGGGATGTGACAATTTGTGACAATTTGGTATTAGAGCCAATCCCTGGTCGGAAATGTGCCGACGAGGACGTCGGGCCCCTAAGGGGGGTGGATTGTGACATCCGACATCGCCCAAGGTAGTGGATCATGTAAGCCTTATATGTATATTCCCATCTCTACCTAGCACGAGGCCTTTTGGGAGCTCAATGGCTTCGGGTTCCATCGGAACTCTGAAGTTAAGTGAGTTCACGCGAGAGCAATCCCAGGATGGGTGACCCACTGGGAAGTTCTCGTGTGAGTTCCTAGAAACAAAACCGTGAAGGTGTGGTAGGGACCCAAAGCGGACAATATAGTGCTACGATGAAGTCGAGCCCAGGATGTGGTGGAGGCCCGAGCCGGGATGTGACACAACCCCAACGTCTAGATGATGTGTAAACTTTTGGATTGTTGGATTTTCCGATCAATGGTCCAGATTTTTTGGCCTAAAAAATTCTGAAAATTTTCAATTGTTACTATTGGCATACATGTCACAATCTAGGCTGTTAGATTACAATTTTTTTGTAATCCAACTGTCCAAACTAATTAAATTATTAAAAATATATAGTAAAAAACATTTACACTTGTTTCCTATAAATACCTAAACATTCTATTCATCCTTACACCATATTTCGATATTTTCAAATACTTTCAACTAGTCTTTCTCTCAAAGTTTTCATATGCTTTTGTTTGCAAAAAAAAAAAAAAAGACTAATGATGCAAGTTTGAATTGGTCGATCATTGAATATATTATGTTGTGTGAATGTTGAGTTTGAACTACACATGACCCGATTATGCGGCATGAGCAGAAGTTGCGAGCACTTTGGAAGATTGTTCGTACCTTGTTTTCTGAGAAGTTTGGCGCTAGAAAAACAAATCAAGCTCTTCAAAGTTGGTGGAAAATACTCAACCAATCGTTTACTAGTTGAAGAAACACCCTTGCTAAAGCTAGTTATAATCTTCAAAGTGGCAAAAATTCAACGGATTAGTTGACAATGTTTTATTTATTTATTTGTATTACACCCAAATTGACATTAATTAGTTTGAATACAACTTATTTTCTCCCATTTTTATAGGCACTTCAAGCACAAGCTTGGTACAATATGGCCAACAAGAACTAGGGATGTCAATTCTAACAGTTAAACTCGATAACGGGGGGATATGGGGAAAGTTCGAGTATATTTTGGATATGGAGAAAAACCGTGAATATTATTTGGTTATGGTTTTGGGTGGTTATAGAGGTACCAATCCATATCAGTACCCGAATTCAACCCGAATAATATATAATATAGTAGTATAATATTGTATATATGTGCGTGTGTGCGTGTTCATTATTCATTGAACCTGTTACCTTGAGAATACAAAAGTTGTATTGTGTGAGTTGATTTTGTAGAAAAGTTCAAAAGTTTTGAATTAAAATCAATGAGAATTCAATGGTGCTTATGAGAGATATCAAAGATTAACCAACATCATCAATATTTTAAATTCAATCTTTTAATTTTTATACTCCACAAGATCTATTCATTGAATCATTTTCTATATCAAATGTTTAATATCTACTAAATTATAATGCGTCAATTAAACGAATATATTTTTTGTATTGACGAAGATGGATATAACTGTTAACCTATGGGGATCCGATTCTTGGTGGGTATGGTTATGGATAACCATTGATGGTTAATTTGTGATTATGGATGTGGTTAATTTTCGTGATTATGGGGATGGATATATGATTTTCGTTCCCCAAACCGAACCATTGCCATCCCTAGCAAGAACAAATCATTCAACCACTAAGAATGTAGGAATGTTGTCAAAGATTGTCTCAAATACAAAAGTATGTCAATCGGTCCAAAAGTTGTTATGAACGACACCCCTCCACACTTTACACCAGGAGAAGACTCGCCTATTCAGGAAGGTGACACATTTGAAGTGTAGGAATCGTCCAGTGAAGAAGTGCCGGAACCGACCCGTCATTCGCTTAGGCCTCAAGGTAAGAAGGCTGCAAGGAAAAAAGGGAGATTGTGATTATACAAAATATATGGAAGAACTTAAGCTCAGCAAGGTGAAGTGAACTTGGCATGGTATGTGGCCATAATTGAGGCAAAAGCTGTCGCTACTGAGAGACAAAAGAGTTACTTGGGCAAGAAAGAGAGACGCTTAGAGAAGAAAGGAGGGGAGAAAGATCGTGAAATTATGAACAAACCTATAGAACAAATATCTTCAAATTCCAAATATTTTTGGAGATTGGAAAAAACAGACGTAATGCGGATGAGGTATGCAAGAGAAGAGGGACGAAGTGGAGATGGTCTCTAGCACCACAAATTCATTAGGTGATTTGTAGGGAATTTGTTGTAAAATCGGAGCCCATTATTTTCTATTTACTTTGGGTTGTAATTCGGTATTTATCCAATTTTGTATGTTATTAAAATTAAGAAAATCGTTAAAAAATCCTATTCGAAATGTAGGAATACAATAATCTTTTATTATTTTATAAAAAAAATATTCTAAACCAATAGCAGACTATTCAGTTTAAGAGTGGAGATGCACTTGAACAGTTACGGTTCGCTAAACACAATAATTACCTTGCTCAATAGCCTTAGCAGTAATCACTTGAGCAATTTAGTAGGGGTAAAGTTGCTCTGAGGAATACCTTATTTATTGTGTTGAAAAACAAAATCCAATATAAGGAAATACGTTTACTTTTAACAAAGACTAAAAATCCAACAAAAAAAAAAAAGAAAAAAAGAGGAATAAAAAAGAATAATTCAAATGTCATCAATAATTTATTGTGGCCAGGGGCCTTTGTCTGAGAAACTGTGGTCACTTATCGTAGCATCGTTCCATCTTAATCTACGGTAGGTGACCATTTAACTTTTATTTTTTGTATTTTTTCCTATATCGTTGAATTAAGATTAAATGGTATTTAGAATGAGACTTTGTAAGTATAATCCAAAATTTGCAAAATTTCATCACTCATACAATACCATAGCTTCTTCAACTATTTCAGAGCGGCATTCGTCAGCATCTTAACCATTACTCACCCTCTTTTTCTCTATCTTATTTTATAGACTCGGCTGGGGTTCAAATTCCACCTTCATGTTTTTAAAAACCTCTTTGCTTAGAACAAAATTAAAGAACAAAAATAATACTCACTTAATACTTTTTCTTTTTGCTCAAAAATCCATCGCCATTCCATCAGTTGCAAACTAGCAATCACCTACCAAACTCAAATAGCCATCCCTTTGAAATCAAGTTCCCTCATCCAGTCACACTCCCACCTCACCTTGTAACTCAATTCACTCCTCATGACAGTTCCTTCTTACTCGACTCTAGTTCTAAATAAAAAATATACCTCTAAATCCCACACTTGCCTTTAAGGACCCCGTACGCAGGTGTGAGGTTTTATCACAAAATGCTTCGATTTATTTTAACACAAGCTTTGAATCCAGTAATTGTTTTAGTGTCTATGAGCTCGTTTGGTACACATGATTGGATTGGAATGGAGAATCGTGTTCCCGGCACACAAAAAAATATCTTCTCCCACACCTCATCAATTAATAATTCTTACCAGAACAAAGTCTACTCCACATAAATTATGGAGTTAATGAGACATCCACAAGAATCTTTCAAAAAATTGTCAGCTACTCAAAACGGTTCATAATTAGACCGCAGTATTTGATTCACCAAACTGCCCAAACACATTGTTATTAGTGGAAGTACACACTTATATTTTGTATACTATTTTGTCAAGGTTTTGACGTGAGATTTTACATTCTTCAACACGAAGATGGTGCGGGAAAATGTTAGGATTAAGGCGGAATATTAGTTCAAATCACCTCAAAATGTACACAAAAACATACTTACAATAGTAAGCAGTTGGGGTTCAAATTCCTCAAGCAAAAGGGCGTAAGAGAAAGCTTTACAAGTTGTCAAACTAATAGCAAATATATCCCTTTTTCTTAATAAAATGTGGTTCCCATGAAATTCATAATAAACCCAATAGTTATTTGTGGATGAGGAAATACAAGAATAGTTGGTTGATCTTTCTTAATCCATTTCACCTTCTGCAGAAACATTTGAACTAACTAATAAGCCAAAGGTTTCATTTCTTAGAGCAAACACCAACATTTCATGTCCTCGATATATATAAAACATGTTTTATGACCTGCAGGAAGAATCACGGTTCAAAAGGTTAACAACACAATGAATTGGAACCTCTTGCGTCCCGAGTATGCAACATGGCAACCCGAATGGACTGAGGAAGAAATCCGATCAACATTCTTCAAATGCACAAAATGGCAGGTGGAAGAAACGTTGGATCCAATCAACTGCCCTTACCACTACTACTGTACCAGTTCTTATGCCGGAAACTATTCGCTGGCTGTGGATTTTCTGCTTCTGTTCTTTGCAGCAGCTTCATACTTGGCAACCCTAGTCTTTATGGTAATGCACGTATCAGGAAAGGGCCAAAAAAGTATTCAGTCAAAAAGATATTTGCTCCCGTCCGGTCCGGTTGCCCTTCCAGTGATCATCTTGGCCCTAGCCTACGGCCACCGGATCAACTCCGCCTTTCCTGTCTCATGCACCGGCCCGGCAATCCTCATTCTCGTTCTGATATCTGCGCTGACCTTCGACAATGGAGCCCAGTCAGACTTCAAGTACGTGTTTTTTGAGACATCAACAATCTCCGGAATTTTGCATGCCAGCATGTACTTGGATTCAGTCATCTTACCCTACTATACTGGTCTTGACGCTCTAGTGTCATCAACTTTTTCAGGCGAGTGTTCATCATGTGTGTGTCGTAAAGAGGTTTTGATTGTCGGAGGAACGTTGATATCCTACCGGGGATGGTCGCTGACCACTTTTTCGGTCGTGGGAACCCTATGTTCGAGGATTATATGCCGGGTTGCAGGAGCGAAAACCGGAAGGTCCATATGGATTAGTTCAATACTCGAGAGTTCTAGCTGGATCTTGATAATCGTAGATTGTGTTTATCTAACCGCAAACTCCCCGCCGGAGCGATTGGAGTTGCGAGTTGCTGCTTTCGGAGGCATCCTTGTTTTGATTTGCCTTTATGTAATTAGACAAGCATGCATTCATATCACACAGCTACATTCTGTGTATAAAAGCAGGACAGCAGTTGTTTGCAACGCAAGCAAAGTAGAAATGCGAAAATGATGGGATGTAAACACATATTTTCAGGAAACATGCACAAAGCATGATAATCTTTTTTCCAAAATTCAATACAGAATTCACAAGTCATCGGAATCGAACATCACAAAATTGGTCTTAAAGCTAAAACAATGGTCCGGGCCGATGTACTTCTTGCCGTGCAGTAGCGACTCTTTAACTGTAAACGCTTGTCTTCCAGCAATGATAAAAAACTAGAACAATGTCTGGGCTGATGTACTTCTTGCCGTGCAGTAGTGACTCTTCAACTGTAACGGTTGTGTTCCAGCGATGATAACTTGAGCAACATTCCAAAGCAAATCACAAGAAAAATCTCCTTCTGCTTGTGTCCATTTCCGGCTATAAAACAAATGGGTAAGAAGAAAAAATGCAGCAAACAGTGAGTACGAAACATGATGGAATATTTTATTAAGAACAAAAAGAGATGACGCCAATATACAAAATGAATTGATTAGTAAATGTCAAATTGAGTACCTTGTGAACCCACTCATATTCCCCGCCTTTAGTATCGAAGGTCCCATGCTGCAGACTAATTAGTTTAAGGGTGAAACGAGGGCCACACTCCTGTGAGTTTAAGATGGAAACAGTGTTATGATTAACTACAAATGTTCTTGACAAGATACGTATTCAATTGCTTCTGAGTATATAAAGATGGGACCTTATTAAAACCCATAATTTTATCCTAATGGATTGCATTGTATGGAGGGCCATGCGTCACTAATTCTTTTTATTTCTTTGTGAACCACACTGGTCACAGTAATGGACCACAACAAAGCATGAAACATACTTCAAGTAGTGAAGTAAGGCCTAAGCCAGACAAAGCATAATGTATAAAAAGAATATGAAAGAAGAAAAGTTGAACTGAGAGACACCGACCTGTAGGCGAGCAATTACTTTCCCTTTCGGTCCGCTCTCACCATTTGCATCCTTGGTCTTTTTACCTTTGGACTCGATCTGTTTAGTCTCTTTTTCTTCAAAGATATACCTGAAAACATGGAAATGAAATGTATTCATTAGTAACGGAAGCTTTACAAGAAAGAAAAAAATAAGTAAAAGATTTTCATATTGCTACAACTTAAAAATGCCAAAGAAGCACACCGATGATGCCGGAAGAATATAAAATCTCGCTGGTTGTGAAAAGTTACAACTCGCCGACCACGAAAGTTTGGTTCTTGTGGGAAAAGTGACTGAATTAATCTGCAGAAAGCAGGTTGACAATGAAAACCATTAGAAACTGAGAGGTTGATTCATATCAAACTTGTAAAGATATCAAAAGGCTATTAAAGCAAATTGTACAGGCGGAAGAATACAAAAACTAGGGTCCGCTCATTTTGGTACCAGGTACAAGGATGTGTGCCCAAATCCAAAAGTAAAAAATGCATCACAAATAATTTTGAAGAACATTGTTCCTTTTCAAACAACAATAAAAATAAAATAGTTTTGGTTGGAGAACATTTAAACAAGGTAAAGAACACAACCTTCCAATTCGATGACCAAGGCGTGTTGTAAAGTTGTTCAGCACAAGCTCGGGCTCATGACTGGTTGGATTTCCATGATTCTGCAGGTATATCAAATAACTATAATAAGAAAAATAATACACACGTGCAGTCATGCACACACAAAAAAACAAATCTCTTCCATAAATCAACCATCTAATAGATAGTTAAAGAAATCTAAGAAGCCTAAATTGTAGGATTTATCGTTGCACTCAACTTTAAGAAAAGAAAAGTTAAAAACCCTTCAGTGCAGTATGTGTAAAGCAAGACTAGAACCAAAGGCTAGTGTTGTCTTGATGTGAAAAACAGAATGCGACTTACCTTGATATCCTTGCGTAAAACAAGCTTTGAGAGCTTAAAATGGGCAGAAGGCCCGGCAGGTAAGCCAATTATTAGGAGAGCATCTACAAGATTATAACAGTAGCTGACAGTTAGATATATTAACAAAAGGACACGAAGTGGAAGATAACACTTCAGAGACTTTACTAACAATCTAAAAGTTTTTGACATCAGAAACAAAGCCAGAGGGAGCACTATTAACACAACAATTCTAGAGAACCCTTCAAATAGAAACAGAACCAACCTGGTTCTCTGCGATTGGTGTGAACAACAATTAGAGAAGTGAAGTCCTTCTTATTTGCGTACTCTACAATCTGCAACCAAAGTTAAAAAACATACATATATAAATTGTTTGAATTTAATGATCAACATATTAAAAATGGAAGGGGGGGAAGGAAAAAGTGTTTTTTTGGGAGGGGGGGGGAGGGATTCTAAAAGAAAGCACCTTTTTCAAGTCATATGTTCCTCTTTTGTAGTAGGTTGCATTCGGGATCACTGAAAGCAGTTCCTTTATAAACTCAGGCCCCCTCTGCAGACCCAAAACACAAAAAACCGTAAATCAACAATAACCAAAACAAAGAATTCCCTAATCACATCAAATTCGGAATGCTGTAAAAAGTGGGGACTATGGAAAAATAGTTACCGAAGAATGGAAACGGCAAGTGGTGATTAATATCTTTGGATTCATTTCGCGCTTTAAAATCGAACTGAATTCATCGGCATCATTTCCAGCAAACAGCTGCAATTGAACACATAAAACAAAGCCGAAAGCAAGCAAACCATCATTCGATTTCCCAAGCATAAAAAACTAAACTTATTCACATTTGCTACATTGTAAGCCAGTAAAACACAATCGAAGGGTGCAAAAACGAACCTCTTCGTCGTCAGGCTTACAAATAGTCTCATCGACTTCCCTGGTGTTCTCAATCGTCTTGGGAATCTTCTTCGCCGGCGGCTACAGAGTGCAATGAACAACACCAATTAGCTAATTAATCCAAAATTAAACATCAATCAACAATAAAAAACCCAATTTCTCAATTCAGAATTCATAAATTCTTAAAATTACCTCCTCGCCGAGCTCGAGAGCGCGCTTCTCGGCGGCGTCGCGGGCTTTGGCCTTCTTGCGCTTTTCGAGCTTCTTCTGCTGCTTGAGCTTGGCGTGCACCGCCGACCTTTTCTCCTTGTTCTTTATCATCGATGGCAGAATCTCCATCTTCTTCTCCGGCGGCGGTTCTTCTCCTCCTCCTTCGCTTTCGCTTCGCTTCCTTTTATTGTTATCGCCTCCCATTTTCGCAGTTGCCGAATCGATACTGCTGGTAGCACAGATGTCAGGTTACCTTCTTCAATCTCGCGCTAGGGTTTTTGTTCGGCCACTACGATAGCCACTAGGGTTTATCCAGTTACAGCGTGCTCCTATCCGCACCGTATTTCGCTCTTCTGTTTTTAACCTTTTAACAAAAAAAAAAAAGAACAAAAAAAATGAGAGTTTTAACGAAAAACTCAAGGTACTGGTCACTTTAACGAAAAATCACATTTTTGCACTTAAAAATTAATCATGGTACTATTCGCTTTAACCTTTATTTTGTCATTATCATTAAAACTCAAAATTTTCAAGTTCTTTTCATTAGTTTTCTTTAAAAATAATCAGATAAATGGTCCCCGTGGTCATAAGGTATTCGGAAGATAGTCCCTATAGTAAAAAAATTCAGATTTAAACCCCTGCAGTCTAAGTCTGTTAGGATTTATACCCAAAATTAAAACTTCTATCATTCCTCTGTTAGTAGTATGCACGTGAGTATCACATGTGAGGATAAGATGGTCATTTCATACTTAGTAGCATGCCAATAGCTTATTAGCTAAAACCCTCATGACATTCCCAATTCTAAAGCATGAACAAAACTTTTTTTATTGAAATCAGAGGTTTGGTTTGTGTTTAAAAAGCCACATTGATGGATAAACGAAGAATTAAGAGAGACGTCGCACCAACATACTCAAGGTATTGCTACAATCTTGATAACCTTAGGCGATTGTTCTATTTTGAAAATGGTTTGTTATTAATCGTATCCACCATGAAAGTTTTTTCTTTTTTTTACAGTCAGTCTCCTCCTTATTATGCTTCAAAGGCTTTTCCTTTTTTTTTTTTTTAGTCGGTTTCTGCTTCTTTTTCCAGTTTGTCTCCTCCTTATTATGCTTGAAGGTTTTTTCTTTTTTCCAGTCGGTTTCCTTCTTAGTGGTATATATAGGGGTTTATGTGTAGGTTTTGAAAGGGAAGAAGGCAACAAAAAGGAAACAAACAGAGCAAACTAGAAGGCAAAAAGCCAATTAGTTGTTTAATAGTAGTAGAACAAATCTTATTGCTTTTTTGGATTCCACATTCCATCGCTTGTCGGTTACCTTTGAAATTTGCATTTGATTGATTAAAGTATGCAACTTTATTGTCATATATTGCATTGCCATTTTATTGATAAAGTATGCAATTTTATTTTAATTATAGGTACTGATAGGTTAACTCGGAAGTTTATATGTGGAGGGCAATTGATGATATTGCCCAAGCATACATATTTTGGTGGTAAGACAGTGTACTTTGACAATGTGGATCCCGATTTGTTGTCAACGATTGAACTGAAGTACATGATGGAAGAGGTTGGATATACAAATTGAAGAAATATCATTATACTAAACTCGGAGAGGAGCCCGAACATGGTTTGCATCCACTAGTTTCTAACATTGACATAACGGACATGGTGAAGCTTATACCTAGATCAAGGAAGATGACTATTTATGTAGAGCATGATGTTGATACACCACATATAGCTACAGAACCGCCTCAAGATCAAACATCAAATTATTCCAATGTATTCGATCAGATACCAGATGATGTGTTCTCTCAAGTACCAGTATAATTATTCTCTCAAGTAACTTATTCACAACCTGATGAAGTGAACAATGAGGAGCGGGTTGGTGTGAATGATAATCTAATTGTTGGTGAGGAAGGTCATGGTCCATATGAAACTTTTGTATAGGAGAGTGGGGAGTGCACTAATGGTTTTCATTAGGAGCATGGAATCGATAGTGATGATTTTGATTACGAGCTCTATGACAGTGAGAATGATGCTGCTATAGAATATGGTAATTTGTTATTTGATAAATAGGTGGACTTGCCATTATCAGGAACTATTACGAGGGATCGTGTAGACGAAACAATTTTGCCAAAAAGCGTAGCTACTGAGAATCTCCCAATAGAAAAAGAGCTGCCAACAGAGGAATTACATAGCCCTGTAAATTCAGATGATGAAGAACAATCTAGTGAGAGGGATCTTGAGTTTAATGCAAGCACATATATGGAAACCCCTAGTTTGAAGATTAGAATAAGGTTTGCAAATCGTGAAATTTAAAAAAAAGCAGTGAAGCGATACTCAATTGTTGGTGGTTATGACATTGGTTTAAAAAAGAATGACCGAAGAAGAGTTACAACTTTGTGTGCAAAACCTTACCCTTGGAGATTGCATGCTAGTCAGATGCAAAATGACACCACTTGGCAAATCAAAGTACTTGTTGACAAGCATAAATGTAGTCGAGTATGGAGAAATAAACATTTCACCTTCAAACTCATGGTTGAAAAATACATCGATAGGTTTAGAGATGATCCACGAATAGATGCAAAAATTTTGCGAACTGTAATTAAGAGGGAGATGGAATTGGAGGTATCCTTAGATCAATGTTTCAGGCCAAGACACGAAGCCTTAGAAATGATAAGAGGGTCAATTGCAGAGCAATATGGTAAGGTTTGGGAATATTGTGAAGAAGTTATACAAACCAATGTTCGAAGTACAATGAAAGTGCATGCAAATCCTCCATTCTTTCAAAGACTTTATGTTTGCCTTGATGCTTGCAAAAAAGGATTTAAAGCTGGGTGCAGGCCAATGATTGGAGTTGATGACTGCCATCTTAAAGGAGCTTTTAAGGGTAAATACATTTTTTCTTTTTCTCAACCTTGAATGATTAAAATTTGAAAGCATGATTTCAATTTATTTAAGAAATATACAACATGGTTACAGGTCAACTACTAGCAGCTGTTGGCATTGATGCCAATGACAATATGTATCCAATAGCCTATGCTGCTGTTGAAATTGAAAATAAAGATACATGGTGCTGGTTTCTACAGATTCTTATTGATGATCTTAGACCAATTCATGAGAATGGGTGGACATTTATATCGGATCAACAAAAGGTAAACTCTATGTTTCCTTTAAGTTATGCAAATATAGTGTCTTGTTTAATTTGTATTGATGTTGCAGGGTTTGGATACAGCTTTTACTACGGTTTTGCCAGAATCTGACCACAGATGGTGTATGAGGCATTTGTACAGAAATTTTAAATTCATTCATAAAGGTAAGACATTAAAAGAATTGTTATGGAATGCTGCAAGAGCCCCCAACCATGTTGACTTTGAAGTTGAAATGGAGAAGTGAAGAGCATTGATGGTGAAGCCTATAATTGGTTGGTAAAATGAGATCCAGATAGGTGGTCTAGGTCTAGATTTAGCACAAGGGTGAAGTGTGACATGCTTCTTAACAACCTATGTGAAACCTTTAATAGTTGGATACTTGCTGCTAGGGATAAACCAATTCTAACCATGTTGGAGATGATATGGTGTAATTTAATGAAGAGGTTATGTGCTAAGAGGACAGAAATAAGTAAACTTCAGAGGAATGTATGTCCTAAGATTCAACACAAGTTAAACAAGGAGAAGTTTGCATCTAGGAATTATTTGGCCCCATTCAGGAAATTATAAATTCCAAGTTGGGAGTGGTTTGTCCGATTTGTTTGTGATTGATATTGCTAATAGGACATGTAGTTTTAGACGGTAGGAGTTGACCGACATACCATGCTTGCATTGTTGTGCAGCAATTTGTCGTAATAGACAGGATCCAGAGGATTATGTGGATGAGATGTAGCACAAGGAAACCTATTTGAAAGCTTATGAGCCCATGATTCATCCATTGAAAGGATGTAACATGTGGCCTAAGTGCAACATGGACCCTCTTGTACCCCCATTAGTGAAAAAATAACCTGGTAGACCAAAAAAAGCAAGGAAAAAGGATCCTAAAATGGAGAAAAAGGTAAATGATAATAATAGTGATTCTAAGCAGGTTGTGAGTAGGAAGGAAAAGACAATACAATGCCACAAGTGTTGGGGTTGGGGGCATAACCAAATGTTTTGTAAAAATGAGCCTAGAGATGCCCCACAAGGTGTATATGTTGACAAGAGATGGGCATATTCTAGACCAGAAACTGGCAACGAGAAAAAAAGACAAAGTAGTGGTTCATCTGCTTAAAGGAGTGGAACAAGTACAACTGCTGGAAATGAAGACCAAGTAATGAATCAACGTACAATTGTTGTTTAAGTTGATGTTGGAGATGTTGTACATTCAATCAATGGAGGTCCAACACCTAAAAAGTCCAAACTTATAGTAAGGAGAAACAACCCCAAGCAAGCCTTGTATTGTGATCCCCATGAAGCTACAAAAGTGAGTTCTTATTTATATTCAATTGACTTATAGTTTGTATTTTTCACAATTGATAAGTGAATAATTTCATTTCATTATGTTACTATCACATGTTCAAGATAACAGTCAACCAACCATTACTAGAGGGGTAAGAGGTGCCACATTTACCACAATTCCTAGAGTGGAGATGCCTCAAGGTATAGTTGGAAGTTCAAATCCTACGATTGGAGTATCTCCTCATCCTCCAACCATTATTGAAGGGGCAAAAGGTCCCACATTTACCACAATTCCTAGAGTGGAGATGCCTTAAAGTAGATTTGGAAGCTCAAGTCCTACGACTGGATGGCCTCCTCATCCACCAACCACTTCTAAACAAATTGTTGCACCATGGAAACCTTCTGGCAAGAGCTTAGTCCACAAAAATCAGAACCTATGGTAGGAGAAAACCTGATAGTGCTCTTATTTTATTTTGGATACATTGTGTTTTGATTCTTTCATATGTGGGAGTCCACTATTTTTTTTTTTTTTTTTTGCTCTTTTGTAATCGGGTCAAGAAAGTTGAATTTTGTAAACGATTGAATGTTTTTTGGTAGTTTGTTGTGCTTATTGATTGGAACCATGTTTATCAATGGTGATTATAAATCTTTGAGAATGAATGGTCATTCATCCCTTCCGTTCAACGTTCATGAGGAGTGAAGAGCAAAACCAGGCGTTTCGGCCACTTCAAGAAATACGTTGGGTTGCAGACCTCAATCTGCTCGACGATCGTGATCAGACCCTGACCGTCGTACCAAATTGACATTGACCCTTTGATTTAAAGGTACAACATCAAAGATGCAGTGAGACAAAGAAAGCAATTTTCTTCGATCCAGAAACAACAAAACGATGTTCAAATTGTTTCGTAGGATCGAAATGCCAGAC